GGAGATGCTGAGGCCAGATGCACGCCCGAGCAGTTACTCCTCTTCACAGTCCCATTCCAGTTGTGCAGGGTCTGAAGACCAGACTCTCTGACATGTTTCTGATGTGATTATATAAAAATTAGAGCATTTTCCTAGCATTGTTCCTGCCAAGGGCTCTTGCATGCTTCATTTCATCATACTGCTTGATTCCCAGGAGCGTTTTCTCTCAAGCAGGTGCTGTACTGAAGGCTAGGAAACATTCTTGACCCTTCCCAGGGAAATCTTTATCTTTTTTTCTGTAATGATTTACCAGGAGAAGTGGACTATGTCTGTGCACCTCAGCATTAGAATGTGCAGCTCAGAGATTCCCATTTCCTCTCCCAGGGCTCCTTCTGTCTTATTCAATAAGAATGTACATGGTCCTTTAAGTGGATAAAATACAGAGGAAGTGCTGGAAGCAGAGACCAGTCTGTAGAAACATACAGATTTATTAGTTATTAGATAAAAGATGGGCCATAATATATTCCTGACTCTTCAATTGTCCCCTGAACTGCCTGTGGCATTGTTCTTGTACAATTAAGCAGCAACTCACTGAGACTTTTTCAGTATTTTGGATTCAGGTGCAATTTCCATCCAAGCCCCTTTTACCCAGTCGGGAGCAAAAGTCAAAAAGTTGGGTTTGTGTTAAAATGTATTGACTTTGCAGGGGAGAAGTCTCTCTGAAACTCCAACAAATGCTTTTGGTCATGCACAAAGAAGTCACACATACATGGAGTAGGGTCCTTTAGATAAATCTGTAAGGCATTTTTGGCCCCAGCAGTTCTGAGGAGTCAACTGGGTGCTTCACAGGTCACGCAGAAATACCTCAGCCCTTTTGGCGGCTGTCTCCTGTGTGGGCTTTATCTTACATCCTGTCATTTGTGCCAAGTGGGACACGGCTGAGGTGAGTTTGTGTTCCGTTCCCCCGATTTTTCCAGTATCTTCTTGGAGTCTCCTGCTTAAAGTTATAGAGGTTCTGAAGAAAAATAAATGCAAAATGGTGACTGTCTGCCTTTGCCCCATGTGGTTTTTGTATTTGGGTGACTGTTTTGTCTGATCTGTATCTGTGATACTATTTATATCCAGCTGTTTCCTGTCCACACTCACCAGCACCTTTGTAACTCTTGGTTTGTGCAGTGGTCTGGAAGTACAGATGTACAAACAGGCCAGAAGTTGTCAACATCTCCTGGTTTTTAACTGGAGCAACTAGGATAAAGCTTAGTGTAGATGAGCTTCCTTCACCAGAGATGGGGAAAAGCACATTCCTCGTGCTACAGCTTTGAATAGAAGGAGCCACAGGTCTTTCTCTGGGTCAGTTTCAGCTTCACAACCAGCCCTATGGAAGGGGATTTTTGTGGTCCCAAGAACCAGCTGGCTGGTGGTCCCAGGAGAGCAGCTCTGCACCAGGCTGGTTGTCTCCCCAGCACAGAGCTGTTGGCTCCTCATTGCTCAGGACCTCATTGCTTCGTGGCTTCAGCATGAGCAGCAAGACTTCAGCCTCTAAATCTCTGCAGCCTTGGCACCTCACAGGCTAGACCATGCCCACAGCTAGCGAGACTTCAGCCTCTAAATCTCTGCAGCGTGTGGCCCTGGCACCTCACAGGCTAGACCATGCCCACAGCTGGACAGAGTGTTTCACTTGGTGTTCTTGCTGGAGGTGACAGCAGCACAAATTGCCTTCTCCAGAGCAACCCTCAACACCCTCTGGTGGTGCCCCAAGCCCTGTTTCTTCCACATCTTCCCATTTTTAACAGTGCAGTCCTCATTTTGCTAAGTGCAAACGCATGACTGAAGCATGTACACCTACTCATCAGACCCATCTACAGCAAGAAAAACTTGACCTTTTTTTTTTTTTTTTCAAAAATGAGGTCTCAGTATCCTAAAAGTACCTTTCAAATGCAACTGCAGGATCTGCATAATTGAAACTTTTGCTCTAATCTCATTACCTCCCTCAGGCAGTTCCTGACAAGTGAAGATTATATATGAGAGTTTATAGTAAACATAGCTTAAAAAAGGTATCTTTAATATTTTTGCAATATATTCAAAGCAGTTTGGGCATGAGCACAGAGAACTCATTTCTATTTCACCTCAAATGCCATTATGTTTATTAAATTAGGAATAGCATTAATCCTAGAGCATATTCAAATCTTTTCGTGATTTTGCATTTGTCATAACTGAAAGATCTCACTAAATATTTCTCTATACCGCTAAATAACATTGCCTGTCATGTAGTATTTATCTCCAATTTTCCTCAATGTTTTTGTATCAGAGCAGAAAATGAGCTATCACAGAAAATAAAATGAGACTGAAATACCAGTCCTTTGTATTAAATTTAACATTTGGCTTCTGTCCCAGAGTTTTCCACATCCATATTAGAATCAGATGGTAGCGTAAGATGAAAAGATCTCCTGGATGGGTTTTATTCTGATCCTTATTAAAGGGCTGATAACAGACTGAAGGCAAGATCCTTGTTGTAGTAAAAAAGCCTGCTTATATCAAAGGCTGGATGGACAAGCTGACATGTATTATTGTTAGGCCTGCCTGCTTGATCGCATTTCAGTATCATAATATCATTCTGCTAGTGGATGTGACATATGAAAACTTCAGTGGGAGAGCAAAAAGCCCAGGTTGGCAAGTATTACTGCTGTGGGTACACAGTAGCTGACCATAAGTCAAAGAAAAGGTTTAATATCAAAAAGTATTGTTGGTGACAGCACAGTGTAGCTATATTTACTTTATTCTCAACTGTTTGCATTCATGAAAGACACCACCGTGTCCTGACTTGCCTGTGAAACTGGTATCACATCTGGTGTGACAGCATAGGGCAGCCCCACAGGTATTGCTCAGCCTTCTTCAGAAGTTGTGCATCCTCTGCCCTCTCCACAAACCAGCACTTGCTCCAGATTCCTTTGGTACTCTGGAGACAGAAAGATGAAAGAGACCTAAATATTCTTCAAAAAGCAATTTTCTCTTTACTCAAAGCAGCTTTGTGTAGTTCTTGTGTATTATTTGCCTGAAATTGTACAAACATTTGCAGGCTCTGGGTCTTCTATGCAAAAACAATTACTTTTGATAAAATGAAGGAATAGTGCTTTCTGGAGTTTCTGTTCTGCTGTAGTGGAGACTGTGAGCATGATATTGGAGCTATAAATTAGATTTTGCAAAGTGGCATTTCTGTAGGGAATCTGCTGCTTCAGACCAACAGGCTGTAATCAGCATTTTTCAAGGGGATATTTTGCCTGTGTTTTGTTGGAATATCTTCAGCAAGAGAAGTAGAGCAGCAATTGCAGATTGCATTTACTCTTCAGTTTTTGATCACAAAGGCTGTCAAAGAACAAATATGCTTTGTAGGTATTTTATGCTGCTTTTCTAAATGCACCTTTTTAAAGGCTGGCATATGGTTTCAACTTATAGGTAGAGAATAATTTTGCTGTCACTGGCTGTTTACAGCATCAACATCAACATTTGAGTTTATACCCAATGCTCCTTTTACAATCAGCGGAGAGAAATGTGCACATTTAGAGATGTTTAGTTAATCTGATTATTTTAGACATCTTCTTTCCAGTGAAAGGGTTTGTATTTTAGAAGAGTCTATTTCTCTTCTCAACAATAATTAATCCTAGCATATTTAGTTCAGGAGGTGTTACCTGTAGTTAGGTGAGCTGGATCCCACACTGCATGTTTCTGAATATTCTCACTTGGCTGCTAACACTGTTTGTATTAATTCTTTTGGAGTTTTATTTTAATTATCAGATTATCCTAGGGAACACATAAAGAGATCAGTTGTGTATGCAGGAAAAGTTTGATTCAGTCCCTACAAGATTTTTACTGCTGATAATTACAGCTATCTGAATGCTTCCTATGAAGGCTGTTTTGGTAGTTGTATTGATCCTGTTCTCCTCAGGTACCAGTTGAATGTGGAGCATCTTTTTGGATGAAGAGTGCATTCTCTTGGGTATGTGGACAATCCTAAGGGACTTAGCATCAGGCAAAAATCTCTGAGGAAAAATGGGACCTCCTTGCATTCTCCTGAAAACATCTTCAGGGAGGTCAGATGAATGGAGCTGTGGCACATGCATGCCTTGTTTCAGGAGTGTTACAAGATCTGAGGGATAAGGAAGCATAATTTGTGTTTGTGAACAGTGTTGATGTCCTGTTCATTTGGGTTCACCTGAACCATGCTTATGGATTCATTCAAATAGAGGAAAAGCCCTCAAGGATGGTCTTCTCAAGATGAATTTGCCATATATGACAGGGCAGAAAGGGTAAGTAGCATCTTAGGACAGAATTTCCTGTGAACAACCCTCAATAAAAAAATAGTGTAATACCTATTAACTAAGGAATCAAAGTTATTTCTGAAGTGTATAAATGGAGTCCCAGAATAGGAGTAGTAAGATGTTATTGGTCCCATATTTGTCACTTGTCACTGTATCATACTGGTGCAAGCACATTGAGGATGATGGCTGCTGGAAACAGGTTCCCTGAAAACCTTTCTTGTTCACTACCCTGAAATCTATAATTACTTTTGGAAGGTTTTGCTTTGGTACAGTTCTGATGTCTGGGTACTGACAGGCAAAAGCACAAGGCTCAGTAGACCTAGTATGGTCTACTGAGCGTTAGTTTTCCTCTGATTAATCTTCTGGTTGATTATGTAATTAATTTTTCTACGAAATCTATAATTACTTTTGGAAGGTTTTTCTTTGATGTACAGTTCTGATGTCTGGGTTACTGACAGGCAAAAGCACAAGTCTCCCTAGTATGGTCTACTGAGCATTAGTTTTCCTCTGATTAATCTTCTGGTTGATTATGTAATTAATTTTTCTAGGTAAATATGTATTCTGTTTCTTTAATTAACTAATTCTTTCACCTCAGCTTTGCTCATGCTTATTCTGTCTTTTGTCAAGGTCTCCCATTAACTCTTGAAGCATTGCCTAGTGACACACATGCTTTTTCTTTCTCTTTCTTTTTTTTCTCTTTTACAGACTTAACTGAGGTTGCACCATGCGTTTTGAAGATGTCACCAACAGATCAGCAGTTGAACAAGCTGGCAAGGAGGCTGGGGCCTGAATGGGAGCATGTAGCTCTGTGCTTGGGTTTGTCCCATACTGACATCTATCGATGTAAAGTCAATCACCCTCACAACCTGCAGTCACAGATCGTAGCTGCATTTGTCCTGTGGAAACAGCGTTTGGGGAAAAAAGCAACAATCCAAAGTCTGCACTCCAGTCTGATGGCAGAGGAAGTGGATCCTTCGGTGATACAATACATGCTTGAGTGAAGCCATGCTATTTATTCAGAGCATCCACGTATTTCATTCAATTACGTGAAGAGGATGGAAATGTATGTTGAAGATCGGATGCTTCAAGCTGTAAAAATAGTGGGGTTGGGAACTGTGATTTTATTAAGCTTAAACATTCCAGTTTTCTGTGGCATCTTATGAATTGTAATTCTTTTCATGCCAGATTAATTTTTAGCAGGCATTAAAAAATAGATCACTCTTTCCTGTTCCCTTTTGTGCTATTTCAGTGGGGATATAGGGTGACAAAGTCCTTGCAAGCAGGCAGGTGTGTTGTGAGTTCAGCAAGGTTTTTGATTTCACTGAGGGAGTAAGACTTGGTTTAACTTATTTTCTGGACTATGTAGGAGCCTTTTTACTGCTGTTTCATGCTAGTTCCCTGATATTACAGCAAGAAATGAGACTAATCACCATTACTAATTTAACAATTTTACAACAGTTATTGCAGGTGGCTAATTTCACATTTATAAAGTTTCAGCACGTACAATTTCTTGCTAGGATAGATGGCTGCCACTTTGGTCTGCCTTTGAAAAAGGCCCAAGTGGAAGTAGCAGGAATGTGCTGTGCCTGTGGGGGTTTCTGCCATTATAATTTAATAGGTGTAGGTTTCTCAGGCAGGCCCTGTGTGCATATGCCTTGTCACAAGTGGGGAGTTCTCAGGGAAGACACACAGTTCAAAAGTGACCAGAAGTAGGGAAGAACCATGTAAACTGAGCAAGAGGCAGCCTAAAAAAGGAGACAACTTCTAAGTTGTCCATGTTTGTCTCTGCTAATAAACTGGGAGACCTCAGGTGCCTGCAGAGTCTTTGAACTGTGCTCGGTATCCAGGCAACCTTATTTCATGGTGAGGTCAAGTATCCATAGCACATTGCTCTGACCACTGCACACCCAGCAGGGTAGTGGATTCTGTAGGTCCTTTCTGGTCAAGGTGAGCTTCCCACTGCTTTCCCTCCAGCTTCCCTCCAGCCATCCACCAGGCTCATTTGCTTTCTACCAGCTTTTCTGCACCTAGTGGGGGCAGCTTTGACACTGCTATCCTCAGTTCTTTGCCAGTGTAATTGTACCACCAATGAAGAAAAGATTTTATGCAGAAAAACAGTGAAGCTTTGCTCTTCTTCTTCTCTTCTGTCATGGAGATTTTATTCCTGCTAGAAAAAAAAACCCGAGATCTTTGCTGACCAGGCAAGGGGGGATCAGTCTGAAGGATACCCAAAGGCAATGGGAGCGACCAGATCCTCTCTGAGGCCTAATGATAAGAGGCAAAATACATTTGAATTCTCCCTGAGCAGTTTGCTGTGCAGTAAATGAAGAACAGAATTTTGATGCTGAGTTTCTAGGTCTGCTTATGAGCAAGTTACTTCAGACTGTTTCATCTACAGAGTCATTGCCAAAGAACTTCCCATCCTGCAAAATTTGCTCTATTTCACAGTTTAACAGCCTTGTCTGAAGTTTTTACTGGGGCAAGAATGAACTTCACTGCTTTTCATTTTAATAAATGTGTTCTTTTTGTATGCAAATTTGAAATACATGGGAAATTAGAAAAGACAAAGAAATTTTAAAGAAATCCTAAATTCCTTGGTTTTTAGAAGCATGGAAACAGTAAATATATTCTGGCAGAATCTGGCTCCTGCAGGTTCTGAAGCAATCTGGTAGTATTTTGGTTTTACTCTTTTGTATAGAGTCCTGACTTCAGTAAATTGATATTGTTATACCTCACTCAGAGCTCAGCTAAGCATATCCTACTTCTAGAGATTAACTGTATCAAAAAATTCCAGATAAACAAGGTAAATCAATTTAGGGTTTGAGTTTTATTTTTTTTTTCTGTTTCATGATGCTTTAATGCCAACATGTTCTTTTTTAGGTGGAAAACCATCCCAGAGCAGGTGTACAGACATTTGGCAAATGAGCACAGCCCAGCACAGGGAGTGAGATGAGGACTTTAAAGCAATTTTGACAGTGAGATTTACAGGAGCGTGGTTTGCATATTAGGGAAGAGAGGCAAAGCACTCTCCCTGGGAGCAGTTTGGAGGAAAAAAAGCTAGAGATCATTGACAGGAGGAACTACTGAAAATGTGATGTAGAGGAAGAATTGACTCCCAGTGTCATAAATGTAAGTACCTTACCTTTCTCTGAACCAACACGGACCAAGTCTAAACACAGACAAGTCTAAACACAGACCAAGTCTAAACACCCTTCAAGGCAGTTCTTCCCCAGTTAACCCAGAATGAGCACAGTGCTCCAAGGAGGCAACCAGTCTGGGCAGTGAAGCAATGTAGTGGGGACACTCACATGACCCTAGTACCTTCTCTGGGTGAACTTTGCATTTTGTATTCTTCATTTCATGAAATCATGGGATGGTTTGGGTTGAAAAGGACCTCCAAGATCATCTAGCTCCAACACATTTGCCGTGGGCGCCTTTCAGTACACCAGTTTGCTCAAAGCCCAATCCAACCTGGCCTTGAATGCTTCCAGGAATGAGGCATCCAAACATATCTGGGCAATCTGTTCCAGTGCCTCATCACACTCACAATTAAGAATTTCTCCTTAATATTTAATCTAAGCCTGCCCTCTTCCATTTGAAGCCACTCGTCCTTGTCCTATCACTACATGTCCTTGGAAAAAGCCCCTCTCCAGCTTTCCTGTAGGCCTCTTTTAGATAGTGAACAGTGCTATAAGGTCTCCCCATAGCCTTCTCTTCTCCAGGCTGAGCAGTCCCAACTATCACAGCCTTTCCTCATAGGAGAGGTGCTCCAGCCTTCTGGTCCTCTTGATGGTGCTTCTCTGGACTCACTCCAGTTCTTCTATGTCCTTCCTGTATGTGGACTCCTGAGCTGTGAGCAGCGCTCCAGGTGGGGTCTTATGAGAGTGGAGAAGAGGCAGAGAATCACCTCCCTCAACCTGCTAGCCATGCTTCTTTTGGTGCAGTCCAGGATATGGTTGGCTAATGTCAGGTTATCCATAACTAATATACTTAGAGTATTTTTAATGGTTTAGAAAACAACCTTCAGTAGATATGAAATTTCATGCCAAATAAGGCTTCCTTTTAAGCCAGGTATCTGTCTGAATATCTACTATGGGCCACTGGAAACTGGATGGGTGAGTATCATATCAGGTAATTTCTCCAACTTCTTTAGGTGAGCTAAATGTACAAACCTTGCACCTGGTACTAAAATTATAGGAGCCACAGCTAGACAAGGATTATAAAGCCTGGCCTCTTATATTGTAAAGCAAAGCATATAATTAATAATTTATAGTTGCTTTCACATTCCCAGAGCCTAAATGAATGCTGTAATACTTGAGTTGCAAATATTGAAGAGAGAGGTTTACTTGTTTTATGAAATTGTTTCCATTGCTGATATTTTTAAATTCATGGAAATGTTCCTATTAGACTCTTCATTTTTATTAAAGCTTGTTTTTGCACTACACAAATGCAGGGATACATTTAACTGACAGTAGTATTCCTTTAGCCCAGTGGATTTTCCCATCCACTTAAAAATATTTTTCTTCTGTATGTAATGCTTTATTTTGCACAAGGATGCAATTAAGACAATTTAATTCTTCAGATGTATAGTAAGGCCTCTTATTCTCTCATAAAACACTCAGAAGACCTTAAAATGTTTATTCTTTTCTGCTAATTTAAGACCAAATGTTATTTATTTAAATCTCGTGGACAAGCCTGCGACTTGAGTGTTGCTCAGGACTGAGGCAACTCAGTGAGTTTCCCCATCTCTCCCTTTGCCTCAAACTCCCTTATGCCAAAGTTTGGGTAATGACAGGAGACTTGCACGGGGGCTCCTGTCCTCCCTGCCCACTGTGCACCCAGGACTGGTGCAGGGGGCAGGCTGACTTCCAGGGGAACCCCAGTTCCACCACTTGTGCTGAAGCGTGCAGCCACTTTGGCCTTTGGGATGGAGCGTGAGTTTGGCAGAAACTGCTCTCTGATGTGTTCAGGTTTCTTAACCAATGTTGAAAAATCCTCACTAGTGAAACTGGTATTATTGGTATCTACTTATTTGTGGCACAGTTTAGGAGCTCCAAGACAGGGAAGAATAAATATAGCCACTGCTGGAGCTTCCACTGAAACAGATGGCATAACTTCCAGTCCTTGGAAGACATTGTCCTTGATTTTCTTGCTTGGTCTCCAGAGGAGACTTTGACATCACATTTAACTCTTCTAAGTTGTAAAGAAGCTCTATTAAAAAAACTAAAACTAAAAAAACCTGTTTTGTACTCTGCAAGTACAGGTAGACACTTAGCATGGCATAGGCAAGACCTAAGAGCACTAATTCTCACCTGCATAAGCTATATGAATGATCACAATGGAAGGATCTTCTCAGGGTAAAAGCATGTCACACTGCCAACATTTAAGAGTGGCTGGAGTGTAAAATGAAAATGCAGTCATCTGTGAGCCACTTCACCCAGATATAGTGAGGGAAATTTCCATCTGGAGTCATATTTTATGACAGTCATTGATATATGGAATAAAACATTTTGCAAAAGTCTGGAAAAATAAACAATGTCATATTATATTCAAAGAAAATAAAAGGCATGCTCATCTCATGCTAAATGTGGTCATGCTGCCAATTTTGTTTCTTATTGGAAAGGAAAACAGTCTCTGAGAGCTAATCTGTTTATAAGCTTCCATATTCTCCATAGACATAGACCAATGTCAAGACATAGTAGAAGTAGAGCTAAAAAGACAGTTAATAAAATGTTTGTCTGTTTACAGTGAATACTCAAAATCTTTGACCAGATTTCCCTAAATAAAAAGAATTTTAACTTTCAAGGTGTCTTACTGTCACCTAAAATCTAAAGATCTAAAATAAATCCAGTGATTTGGCTTTTTTCCCCCTGAATGCAGTGTCTTTTTTAATTGATGTCCTGAGCATTTGGAAAAAAATGAGCATTTGCCAGAAACAAAAATAAACAGATTAAAAAATTAGTATGTGTTTTAGCAGAATTCATTTCAGAACCTAGCATTTTAGTTGTGAAAAAAGATTAATTGCAATTTCCCTTTGAAACTGGTAGGTAGAGCTGATGATGGCACAGGAAGATTCCTGTGTCTTCTGCAGGAAGAGACTGCATTAAAACATCTGTAGGTGATGCAGGTACCATTTCTGAAGCTGATGTCTGTTCCAAGCCCCAACAGCAAAGAGACAAAAAGTCTCTTATTAACTTCAGTGTGTTTTGGATTAGGCCTTCTT